GAGCATATGGGGGCGTAATCAGCTGTTAGACTCGCGACGTGGAGGGGGGGGTGGATGTGAAGGATTTAAATAATCTCGCGATTTACATTATATATTCCCCCATATACACACACAACTGGTTTCTCGATTATATCTAACGGCGGTTTTCAGCTTTTAACACCAAAGTATAGGTAAGGAAAAGGTCACACGCACATGAGACAATCCGGAAAGACCGCTGGATGGCCGTGATCTATGAGGAACGTTGAAAAATATATTTGCACTGCTTGTGTAAGTAAAAAGATTACGATAAATGTAAATTGCATTTGGTTATCTCTTTGTATCAACCATGCAAATTTTGTATACAAATGGGATGCTAAGACGTAAATTAAGAATCTAAGTGGCGATTTCTGATGTGAAAGAAGGAATTAAGTCGAATGAGTCGCAAGAATTTAAAATAGAATACGCTGACCGAAAATAATATTGAAGGAATGTCACTGCAAATGCACAAAACCCTACCGCCTTTCAAATGTACTAATAATATTCATAACATATTTACTACGATACCATGAATATCATTATTACCAGATACAAATGTACATTGCATTATTGGGTTTCACCTTTGAAATAACAAAGTTTACTTTCTTTGCTGAAATCTTAGTAATTTCGCCCGTTGCAGGATTTCCAGCTTTGATGACGCATGGACAGTGTGGAAATCTCAAGACATAAAACCGGAAAAGTATTATTCATTCTTGAAAACGTCATGCATGTCCCCTCTTGTGCATCCTTTGTTGCATTTATTTTATAAAACAATCATATTTTTGACCGTCGTTCCTCGCAATGGCACCCATAAGTTGCGTAAAGCTTCTGGGGTTGTTACTCATCCCGTTGCGATACATGAGAAATCCCCTACATCTCCCACAGCTTCAACAACTCCAACGTAAAAGTTCCTTGAAGACCGAATGACGTCACACAGCGTATCGCAGACTCGACTCATGACCGTAGCCAATGACGGTGTAAGTGATAGCCAAAGCGAGTCTCATCCGAACGCATACTACAGGCCTCTCCGCCCCCTGCATGTGACTTCTCTCTTCCTTGGCGAGACCTCACATTCACAACACTGCGCGGAGGCATATGCAAAGTAGTACGTAGAGAAAAACACTAATTACGCTCTTTTGGCTCGTCTTTGTGCGTAATTCTTGTGAGTGTTCGAATATAGAAAAGAAAGGCGATATTTTCTGTGGGAAAAATAAGGTGTCGTTGGTTCGTGTACAGATAGAGAATAGAATTGTTAAGGGGCGGGCGGAGGAGGAAATGGGCGAAGGGTTGTTGTGTGGTTGATCCTGAGGGAGGAACGTCATTGGTGATATTTTAGTGCGTTTGGGCATTTAATTTTCGTTTTAAGTCTTCAGTTACACTCTTTTCTACAGGTAAGATTGAGCAGCGTTATATCTGACTTAAATAACGTGGAAAATAACCCACTTTTAGTTAAGTTGGGACGTAAGAGAAGGACAAGTAAACATTTGTGTTGTGTCTTCCTCCCGTCACTCCAAGACCAGCTGATCAAGGGACGGGAATTACCACCCCGATCTCTCCTATTCACCGAGGAACCCGAGATCTTTAGTAAGTAGCGATCAATCAGGAGGCATGTAAATGACGAAAGTTGTCTTTTAAGGGGGATAATTGACGATAGATTGGCCCGAGTTGAAGAGTGACTTGACAGGGATTAACACTCGACTTGGTGAGTTGCATCCCGTCATCACAGTCAACGCAACAAATTATAACGTTGCAAAGGGCGTGTCCTTCGGCCTGTGGGCTCAATTTTTCGCATTATGTTAAAAGTGTCAATAAAAGCAGCCGGATATTTGGATAGAGCTTCCTTGTCACTTGGTTCAGCCTCAAGCTGCTGTAACAAAAGAGGTCCGTCATACGAAGTAATTAGTGTATCTAGTAGGAAAAGGGAGTATTGATGGCCCACTGTGTACTTTGACCAGTGAAAGGGAACCCTTTCAGTTGCAGAAAGTATTGGAAAATTGAAAATACTAAAAAAGGGTGGGGTTTGCAGACTCATAGGTAGCTGCAGTGAAACTAGCTTTTATTTACAAGTGTTATGTGTATAGCTATGCATTTCACATATTTATATATATATATATATTAGGGCTTTATATATATTAGTATACTGGGTCTTTTGATATTAATTTAGTGCTTATCATAAATGATAACTATTTAGGTTGCCATATTAAAGGTTTGAGAATTAATTTACAGACCTACGTTTCCCTTTTTGGAACTGAAATATTACAAATATTTTAAGTGTATTATCTTTAAGAAGAATAGATATTAAGGTCAAGTGTAACAAAATATAATGATAATAGTAGTTAGCAATTTTGATATAGTATTGAATATTTTCTTACTATTGAAAGCATATATATTACGTTTTTTGGTGTGTGTGTGTGTGTATGTTCATTTGGGTATGTATGAGTATGTAGGCTTAATAAATATGTTTCTATATCAAAGTCAAATATTA